TTATCCGATGGGAGCCATAGCAACATTTTCAACGTAATCCTGTCGGTGGTACTTCCAATAGGCTTTCGCAATAACGTGAAACATAATGAAGGTAAGTTGACACTGATTAGTTTGTGAACCGGACCCCGGACCATCTACGTATGTTTCGACCGTGACCATGGATACGGCGATGCACAAATTGCACTTGTTCGTCATGAATCACTAATTGCTATGATACAGTCGCGGTTGCCAGGGGAATGGCGAAACACTACGGAAAAAAGACGTCAAAAGCAAATTCTGTCCTAAGCATAAAATTTCACGAATAATTTCTTATTGTTCTTCTGTTTCTTCTACTTCTTCTCTTAATCGTACTTTCTTCTTATCATTACCCTTTTGCATAGAAGACAACGTCAGGGGCCGTACAAGCATTCCACCCGGATCGAATAATTTCTTCCTCACTCTTCAGTCCTTTTGATGCCACGTTTTTTCTAAGGAGATTTTCTCACCTCGCTGAAGGTCTTCCTGGCAGCCGATATACAAGGCGGCTATCCTCCATTCTTTAGTAATGGTCCCACCATCTTAAACGCATTGTTTACAGCCAGTCGATCACTTTAATTCGATATTCTTATTCATCTTTTACAACTGCATTTGACACCATATTGTATAAATTTACTTCTAATACTGATCCTCATTTTCATTGCTTCCAGTTTTCTGTCTTAAAACTTTCTTGAGTACTGCCGTTTCCAATCAGTAAAAAAGAATGTTGAAGAATGCACGCCCTGCTTATCCCACAACTCGTATTGCCAGCATCGTTGTCCTTCTAAAGCTTGAAGGCTTTGCCTGCTCTGATTGCTACGCATAGCACCTCATTAATTTCGCTTGTCCCTCGTTTTTCTGTAATTAATGTATTCCCAAGAGACAGTTGTTCTGGCACCTTTTGCATCGCTCTGATGTCAAAGGTTAGACGGTGTTTGCTCTGGGTTCTACCAATCTCCATCCACTTCGTCTCTTTAAGTTAATCGAAAGACCCAGATTAGAACAGCACTGGTGCCAAATTAGCACCACTAATGTAGGCACAGCTTTCAACTTGTCTTCAAGCAGTTCAAAAGAGTTTACGCAGAAATTTTCTACTCTTGCCGCGGTCGTAGCTTCACGCTTTCGTATTAGCTGGAACATCCCACTAACAAACATTGCAAACGATAGAGCAGATTCTACTTCTACCAGTCTTACTCCAAGCCATATGAGAAAGAATTGTCCTACCTACCAGAAATTTGCACTGCACTCGACTGAAGATCAGACATCTTTTTAATTATGCGAATAATCTTTGATTGAATTGCAAACTTGAGAAAAAACAAACAGCCCAGGAATAAAGTAGCTTTGCAAGTAGAAACTTGTGACTGAGATCAAAACTGAGGCTTCTGTACTCTCGAGAAAGGTCAAAGGGGAGGTACAAAATGCAGAAACTCTAACAAAGCCATAATAAAGGGAACTTAGGGGCAAACCGGGAAGGAAATTGGTGGACATTAAAGAAGACATCCAGTAAATTTACGCCTTGGAATCCAGATCATTAAGTTGTCCGCTCAGCAGCGGAGGCCAAGACCACTGGAACGGCCCCTGGCGCAATGCTTCCTACACTACAAA